CAGATGTATGGCTGCAGAGTGATCCAAAAAGCTCTGGAGTTTATCCCTTCGGACCAACAAGTCATTGTAAGTTTATGAAGGGCTGCACGCTCTCTTTATAATTCTTCACATTGCTGTGTTGAAGTTACACAATGTGTATGAATTTAATCTAAATTGTGTCTTTTGCAGAATGAGATGGTTCGGGAGCTTGACGGACATGTGTTAAAGTGTGTGAAGGATCAAAATGGCAATCATGTTGTGCAAAAATGCATTGAGTGTGTCCAGCCTCATGCTCTTCAGTTCATCATTGATGCCTTCAAAGGACAGGTGTGTCTGTATTGAACCGTGTGAAATGCTAACTTTTTGAATAGAAGGACTTGAAGTGTGTGTGTACCATGGGAACCTTTGTGGTTTATTTATGGAGGGCCTGATTTTTGAAATGCAGTGCACTATTGAGAGGCTGAGGCATAGTATAACAAATGAAGAAAAAAATTACCTATAGTACTTGTCTAATGAAAAATGTTGTTTGTTTTTTAAATAAGTCTCTTCTGCTCACCAAGTCTGATTTATTTGATCAAAAATACAGTAAAAACAGCAATATTGTAAAATATTATTACAAATTAAAATAACTTTTCTGTTTTAATATATTTTTAAAATGTATTTTATTCATTTGAATCCTGTGGCAAAGCTGTATGCTTTGCTTAATATTTTTGTGTAAACAGTGATGGTTTTTTTTCTCTGAAATTTTTGATAAATGTAAAGTTAAAAAAACTGCATTTATAAATCTGATCAATTTGGTGCATACTGTTTGAATAAAAGTATTTTTCCATCCCAAAAATATCTTACTGACTCCAAACATTTGAACAGTAGTGTAGAATTTATTAGACACCTTTTATATGTATTATATATATTAATATTTGTGTGTGTGTTGGAGCCAAAGTTGCAGTATATTGGATAGCAATATAGTCAAGTAACAATCTGAACTACTAAACTTAAAAATAAATAAATAATAATAATCCTGTCAAATATTTATGTATCTGCAGTCTTGTCAAATTCAGTGTTTCCTCTTCAGTGGACCACACTGGCCAAAATGGCTGCAATAGTGAATAAGTAGTCTATGGGCCCCATGTTCTTATATAAAATGAGTCCTGGGGATAGAAAAGTCTACTAACATGCAGTTTGTAACCTGTATGTGTTGCGAGAAAACTGCTTTATCCAGTCGTGGTTCTGAAATGGCTTGTTTTGAAATGTATTTAAAACCTTCGTCTTATGTGTGTATGTTTAACTAATAACTATGTGTGTTGTGCAGGTGTTTGCTCTGTCCACACACCCATATGGTTGTCGGGTGATCCAGCGTATTCTGGAGCACTGCCTGCCTGAGCAGACTCTACCGATACTGGAGGAAATACATCAACACACCGAGCAGCTGGTCCAGGTAATTTATGAAGCATTCTCTTTCTGTACTGACCCAGGATCTCATCCATTCCTCTCATCAAAACCCTTTTTTCCTCCCCTTTCCCATATAGGATCAGTATGGGAATTATGTAATTCAGCACGTGTTGGAGCACGGCCGCGCAGAGGACAAGAGCAAGATTGTATCTGAAATCCGTGGAAATGTTTTGGGGCTCAGCCAGCATAAGTTTGCCAGGTGCGCACAAAGCATTTACGCATACGTGATAATCCACCACACAAAGGCGCACAGGAGGAAGTGTCTTATTTAGGGGTATTTGTTTTTTTTATTTCCTAGTAACGTGGTGGAAAAGTGCGTGACCCACTCATTGCGTGCCGAGAGGGCGATGCTGATTGATGAGGTGTGCAGTATGGCAGACGGGCCCCACAGTGCCTTATACACCATGATGAAGGACCAGTACGCCAACTACGTTGTGCAGAAGATGATCGATGTGGCTGAGCCAACACAACGCAAGATTGTAATGCACAAGGTGCGGCTTCTATTCAGTTAGCAATATTTCTTCTTTTCCTGTTTGTGCCAAAAGCACCAATGAATTGTGACTGAACAATGATTGTTGGTTGTTTTGTGTAGATCCGACCCCATATTGCGACGCTGAGGAAGTACACGTACGGAAAGCACATTTTGGCCAAGCTGGAGAAGTACTACATGAAGAACGGCGTTGACCTCGGCCCACTCTGTGCACCCCCTAATGGCATCATGTAAACCCTTCCCATAACTCATCTAGGATGCCCGTCTGTGTGTGTGTGTGTGTGTGTGTGCGTGTGTGCGTGTGTGAGTGTGTTTGTCCACACCCGACGATGTAGGGAGGTTGGGGTGGAATGGATGAAACCTTCCCCTCATCACTGAGTCATCCCCGGGTTGTTGTGACTTTTTTTTTTTTCCCTCTCCCTTTTAGCATTTCTTTCTGTTTTCACTCTACTACCTAAATGATGGTCCTTTTTTTTTGGTCCTGTATGAAATGAGAGAATATTTGATTTATCCCACGTTCGATCATGTAGGCTTGCGCAAACACTTTATTGCTTCACAACACCTTTCTAATGCGCATATTCTGTCATAACACACACACGCACATTATTGCTAACACGCAGACATTTAGCATGGGAGACGTTTTTGGTCTTGCTTCTATAAACTATTTAGTGCATACTTGGTGTAGACCTTTGCATATATATATAAATATATATATAAAACTTTGTAGTTTTTCTGGTTTTTGATGTCCAATCTGTATCTAATCTTCCCCTGTAGTGAATACATACTTCTGATTGTATAATTGTACATTTGTAAACCTTCGCTAATGTAAATGTGGACTTGCTTCTACAGCCCTTTTTTTGGTATGAGAAAAAAAAATGACAATGGAAAAAAGAAAATCTTGTGCATTTCAGTGTAAATTCTCACCTCTTTGGTTGTGGTTTCTGAGTTATGAGTTGTTATATATTGTAAATTGTAATATCAGATTTTTTGTTGGTTTTGAAGCCCTTTGAATTATTACTGCATAGATGTACAAAGAACAGAGAAAAGTGCGCACTCTGCTTTTAGCCATTCACCAGCCACTTCTTTTTCACCTCCACTCATCCCTTTCTTTTTTTAGGATCTTTTATAGTCCCTCCCTCGCTCCTGGGCAGGCGCGTTTGTGTGTATGTGTGTGAGGCGTTCGACTGCCCTTGGTCAGAGTTGGAGGTGTGTACAGATTAGCCATTCTTTTGTCTACTTGTAAGTGATTGTAACATACTGGCCATTGGTTTTTGATTTGGAACACTCTCTGGTGTATATTTAAACAGCCTTGTGTATATTTCCTATGATTCTCTTTATGCAGGCACACTTGTAACCATAATGTGTATAGGTAACAGATGCTGTGTATGCTTTCTGCCTGGGCAACTATTTTTTGTAACTCCAGTTGTAGATTGTCTCTAAACAATGTGTGATCTTTATTTTGAAACAAAACAATGAAAAAAATTCAAAATTTCAGAACGGTCTTTGACTCTTCCTTTTGATGTGCTTGTTTTGTGTTCAGCACTGTGATCATTCAAATCTTTTCTGTCATACTTTTCAGGAATCATTTGGAAAAACTACTCTTGTTGAAGACTGGGGCTGTGTTTGGAAGCATTTTAGTTACTTTAATTCATCATTAAACAAATGTGTGATATTAGTGAAACATTAATAGCATTTTCCACAAAGGATGTATTTGTTGACATTTTCCTGTAGCAATAAGTTTCTTAATGACACGGCCTGAGGATACTGTCCTGCTGAAAGTAGCAGATATGCTTAGATGAAGGATTCTGCTGGTTTTGAAATGTAAAAATTGCGTAACTTACATATTTCCAGGGAACGGATAATTGAGAAATGCATAACTTGAATGCCCCACAAATCTCTAGATAAAAGCGTCTGCCAGATGTGCAATTTTAAATCTTGCATTTTTCAAAGGCGGCTGAAAGCCAGTTCACACTAAGGACTGTAGCTGTCCACAGCACAATAACAATAATGACACACTGGAGCGATATTGCTGGAATCACTTTCAGAACAATTGTTTGTAGCTGACGAACAACAAAAACATTACCAGCCCATCTGAGTCCACCTGACTTTAAAGACCTTGAGCATTTAAAGCAGCAGATGTCATAACTGCAGTGCACTTACCGTCCAGGCTGTGAATGGGCCTTAACACAAATAAGTTTGATAAGAATAGATCTTTGTTCCATCATAAAGGTACAATGAATATTAACCCTGTAAAGTCTGATAATTGAATTCATAGAAATCAATCATGTTTTGTATCATATTTAGATCATTAAAACTTTTATGGCCCATATAGCACGATAGTGAGAATATGGAGCTCATACTCGAGGAAAAAGCACCTCAGATTTGTTCAGAAACTGAGCAAAAAGATGCAATTTGGTTCAGTTGCTGTTATTTCTGTGGCCAATAAACAAGATGCCTTGTAAATCAATGAGATTTTTAACAGACTACTTACATAAAATTCATTTAAATATCAGTTGTCACTCTATAGCTCCCAATAATGTCCTATTAGGATGATTTTAAATGCTTAGTTTTATGACTAAAAGCTCTGTAGTTTTAATTATTAGGGCAAAACATATAATGCAATAAAATGATGATTGAGGGACGTACAAATAAATATTCCTCAAAAGCCCAATGTATCATATTTTCATAAATGTCTTGATTTGCAACACAAGGCAAGTGTGTGTGTTTCTAAATGAATGACCAAGACAGTTTTGAGCTGTCCATGTTATCCAATATCACCGGCTGAATGAGATCTTATAGTGTGCTTAATAACTGAGCTCAGTGCATCAGACTTTCTCAAATACAGATAAGAAGTCATGAATAATGTAGTAGGCTAGTCTGAATGTATCTCACCCATACTCATACACCCAGCCAAATGTCGGTCAACCAAAAAACTGCCACTTTCATTCTTGTACTTGTTTCTTATGCACCATAAGACCTTTGACATATATGAACAATTTTATGTACATATTGAAACACCACCAAAAACGTTATAAAGGACAATAAAGGTGACATTATATTCACTAGGAGTCAAAACAGTAGCATGAAATTACTGTATGTGCGCGGTATTATCAGAAACATGTCCACTACTACAGACAAAATGTTCAGGGTCTCGGGACGCTTTGGTGGAAATCGCGATGGGGAGGAGAAGGGAGAGGCAGGGAAGACGTCGATGCTTGCCTGGGCTGCAGGGGGCATCCTCAACCGCACGAGCAAAATCCACCCAATGCCCGTCCTCCTCTCACACACGCCATAGCGAAGAGAAGAGAAAGAGAGAGAGGAGTTCTGGTCTTCCCTCTGCTTCCATATCCATCAGGTCTCAGCCACTCAAGTCAGGTGGGAGGAAATCACAAGAGGCTGTGCGCGCTGTTGCTGCTCCTCCTCGGTCTTCGCGTGGTTTTGCGGGGATTTGACCGTGCCGACGCGAGACGGATGTGCCGACAAAAGCGCCTGCCCCGAAGTTGGATACCGTAAACTGAGCGAAGGGTTTACTCCTACCTAGTACCTTAAAGAGGAGCGCGACACGAGAACGCGAGCCCCGTGTTTTGCTGCGTTCGGAGCACCATGAAGCTCCCGTGCTGGATGGCGCTTGCGCTGCTGCTGCTGGCGCAGACTGCACTGGTAAGAATGACACTCTATTGTGATCTATTGTTACGAGAGGGCGAGTTACCGCCGGTCACACGCGCTCACAACATGTCCAACATTCACATTCGGGATTATGTTCGTGTATACTTTAAGTAATCTTTATGAGAGAGTGTGAATTGTAAGGTCATTAATTAGGCGACAGTAGCCGTGTGCTGTTCGGTTGTAAATCTTGGACGCGACCCACATTCTGTCGGCTGACCGCAGACAGCGCGTCTCTGGCGGCCTGGGGAGCGCTGCAAGTGGGCTGGAGAAAGCTCTGAGATGGGACCTACGAGCCAACCACAACCGTGCGGATTTCTCCTGGGCACCTTTGCCTTGTTTGGCCATTTTGGTCGGATGTGGGTGGGTGTGTCGGTGTTGTGGGTCAGGGACGCACCGTTAGTCGCCGTCCCCCGGTTGTCTGATTATGCTGGCGTGAAGCTTGGGTGCGTGCGTGCGCGCGCGCATGGCAGGATAAACTATAATTAACGCGTCGCATCTAATTAGGGTTTAATTGCAAGCCTTTTGTCCCTCATGTTTGCCTGTCGGTGGTCCCTCCACACGTACCATTCCCTTTGTGGTCAAGAGTGGTCGGTGGGTTCCAGACATGGTCGGTAATTACAGCAGGGCTGCATAATAATGATTTGTAGCGGGTAATAGGCGGAGGTGTTGGCTGAGCTTTGAAAGTGTCGCCGATCGGCGGATGATATTGGCCGGAGATCGCCCGAGGTGGGGTGAGTGGGGTGTGGAGGGTGGAGAGCGGCGGGGGATGACGTCACTGGTCTTCGCGGCACGAGAGAGCGGAACCCAGATTCAGGAGGGTATCGAATTCATGCACGTGTTTTTTTTTTACGTTACGTTTACATCGTTTAAATGATGTGCTTTTGAGAAGTAAAAAAGCGGAACACAGGATCCACCTCCAGACGTGTGTTTACCTTTGAGCAGTGCGTGCGAGGAAATGCATTAATGAAATCCTTTAAGAAAATTAGAACAGAACTCAGTCTTTACTACGGGTTCTATGGTTTTTTATGTTACTGAGCGCTTTTGTTGAGCCCAAAGTCCTTCTTTTAATCAACTAACTGGCAATGATAAACTACTGGTGGTTTCAAATGCCTGTAAACACTATAGAGTGCAACAGTGCCCGTCCACTTTTTCAGTGGCCTTGATTCCTAAGTATTTTTCCTATAGGGAATTTTTTAAAGGTCTTTGTTTAAGAGTTATTAGACATGAACTAAACCAACCAGCTACAATGTGAATTACAACATTACAAACTTTGATGCAAGAAGTAGAGACCGAGACAAAGATACAGAGACTGTGTACTCATTTGCTTTAATAATCACATTTAAAAAGGTGAAATATAAAACTTTTGATTTAAAGTTGTTGACTTTATATACATTAGGAGAAAATGTGATTTTTCTTCTGTAACCCTTCTGTTGCACTCTACTGAGGAGTAGATGTTTTCTTATAGTTGACCATTATTAATGAATGGTTGCCGGAAATAAACTTTTTGCCCACAGTAGTTTATGAATGCTCAGTTTTAACGGGCATTTTTATTTTTCCAATCTAGATATAAAAGATAACCACCATATGTGTGATCAAACATGCAGAGACCTTTAAGTGGGCTAAAAATGACATTCTTTGCACTCATGACCTTGAAACTTGTGTCAGTTGACTTTCCATTCACTTTGGGGTTTTTTTTCTTTTTCTTTGGAAAATTAGTTTATACAGAGTCCTTATCAACAAACAAGTGAACCTGTGTTGTTTGCGTGCAAACTTTACTCAGAGCACCTCCTGAGATGGTCGGAGTTCATTTTGCACATTTGCATACAAGAAAAAATTTGTGGAAACTGCATTAAGGCCAGTGAACATCTGGACAAACAGCAGAATCAGACATTAGACACACTAACAGCTTTTGACTGTTTATCAATATATAATCTAATGTGGTTCTTCAAGTGTGTCTGCATCCAAGCAGCCACTTTTCTTTTCAAGTGTCAAACTGACATGTCGTACAAGTCACAGTGGGCTGGCTGATGAGAAAGTTTACATGTTATTGTGAAAAAAACACCTGAATTTGATTGGTAGTGGGTGCTTATTTCATACCTATCTTGCCCACTCAAAACGAATCAACACACTTGTAGTATAATGCGTGATTGGATGAGTTGTTGTGGCCACTTCAAACGGAAGTCTCATGTGGATCAGGTCAGTGGTGTCATATCCTTTCTGGCATTGTGTGCCAGAGATGGAATTTAATTTAGATCTGGGAATTGAGCTAATGGACACACATCCGCTCCAGGGAGCTGTGTGTTTTAAAGGATCATGTTGGAGTCCTGGGTTCAGCTCTGAATCAGTGTTTTGTGCTGTAGACGACAAAGACAACCATAGAGAGGGCGGGAGATGAGGAGGAGGGAATGAGAGAAAATGAGTGGAGAGGAATGTGTGAAGCAATTTCACACAGGAAGTTTCTGCTGCTGACTTTCTCACTCAGCTGTATAAAGGTCTCGCTTACAGACTCACAAAAGCTAGACAGTGTTTTAAAGTTTTGATTGGGAAATGCCTTGCTCAAAGTCTGTGTGGCCTGTGAGGAGGATTAGCATTGCTTGGGAGAATAAACCAATATGGGATTGGAGCCAATGCGTTCGGTTCATGCAACATAGTTTACCCGAAATGAAAATTCTCTCATCATTTAATCACCCTTGTGTCATTCCAAACCTGTATGATTTTCTGCTGCGTAACAGAAAGGAAGATAATATTTTAAAGAATATTTCAACTGTTTTTGTCCATACAATGAAAGTCAAAAGAGTCCAAAACAACATTAGGCCCCACTGACTTTCATTGTATGGACAAAAAATACTGAGACATTTTTCAAAATATCTCCTTTTGTGATCCATAGAAGAAAGTCATGTAAGTTAGGAACATTGGAATTTCTCAGGAGTGTTAAAATTAGTCAGAAATGAGACAATCATGCATTGGCATACAGTAAAGCCAGTATCTCACTAGTTGGTTTCCAGTTGCTGAATAATCTGAGTGCCAGTGTGTACGGCTGCGTCTCTCGGCAGGTGGGTGTTAACAGCCCCGGTGACCCAGAACCCTGCTGAGATAATGACCCTACAGTCTGAAAGTCAACTTCCGACCCGTTTGAAATGATCAGAGGTGGTCTTTGGGGTGGGCCTCTGACATTCAACATAAAAGGGAGGGATTTCAGCAAAAACAGTCGGTAGTTGTGACACACCCGACCAAAATCCAGTTGCACAACAGGGATCATTTGGTTTTGGAATAATTTAATGAGAAATGTTTGACTTCATTTTGAAATCTCTGACTTTTAATTGCACACTTTTGGTTTCTTGGAAATCTGAGCACAGTGTGACACTGAGGCCTTTTCAGGAGTTGTAATACAAGATTTTTTACCGAGACATATGTGAGAGAAAAGAGACCTTATTTAATCTCAGTAGTATATGTTTACATAAACTTCAGAAATGTTCTATTTCAGTTGGTACTAAAGCAATAATGTGTCTAAAGCAATAAAATGTCGCTTAAACACTTTAGTCTGACTGAAATGTCTAACTAGGTCTGTTAGTCTAATAATTTGATTGTACCAAGCATGTAAACATGTTAATCAGGCTACATTTGGCTTCTGCATTGTTCACATGCTTGGAAATTCCAAACCCAAAAGTAGCTTGATTATAATTCCACATGTAAATGTACTTTGTGTCAATTGAGTTATTAAAAAGATTTGATGCGTTTCATTTACACAGAACTTTTTCAGTTCAACTGTGCTTTTACATTGTTTTACTACGTAAACATACCTACATGCACTAGGCGGACGTGTTTGACTGTGGTGTCCACGTCTCATGTCTTGACACGCATGAAACAGCGTTTTCAAAATGTGCCACTCAAATTCAAAGTAGTTCAACTTTTAATAAACGTGTCTCTAGACCTTGTGTTTTTTCTTCAGTCCATTGCCCCACATTTCCCAGTTTTTAATGCAAAAACACATTCTATGTGAACAGCCTCACATGTGGCTGTTTTCTTACACAAAAAGCATCTAATAAACTTGTCAGTTCTGTATAACAAGTTCTGCATGTAAATTTGAACGTTGAATTTGTTCCTAGTTTGACAATGTATGTTCTCAGACACTTCTATTGAAGGCCAGTCCAAATGTTTAACATCTGGCTGCTCTAAATTTCTCCAAGCAAATCACAGTCATAGCCACAGTCTCGCAACAAACACTGTGGCAATTCCATGTTGATATAATAAGTGCATTTCCCAAGGCTTCCAGCTGACACCAGTAGTGTCGTTAAAGGAAAAAAAAAACATTATCGGGTCCACCAAATGGCACTGTGTTCTGGTGTGAAAGTGTTTAATTTAGAGGTGTTAGCCGAGGAGGTTCACATCAGCACACCTTCTTCACATAAACTAAATGAGCCACATCATGCTCCCCTCCCTTTGACCTCCTTACATCCGTCAGCCGCCTCCTGCCCAATAACCTGAAGATGATGGATGCAGGTAGGTGAAATTTGGGTCAAATCATTGCCATGCGTGAGTGTCATTCATTCATTCAGTTGGAAAAAACACTTGTGGACTCATCTGAAGGAATGTATTTTGAGTTTTTTGTGACAGTGTTGATTACCACAAAAATAATTTTGTCTTGTCCCTACTTTTCTTTGAAAAAAAGCAGACATCTATGAGGTTACAGTGAGGTGCTCTCAAAGCAAGTGGATAGGGCTGATCTGTACACATCTTTACAAGTTTCAACAGTAAAGCCACAAGGCGTAAACAACATGACTGTTAACATAATTTTAGTGTGGGAAAATTGCTTGCTAACCTCTTCTCTGTAAAATTATATCCAATTTTACTTTGTTGCCATGACAGTGCAATGCCTGAAACCTTAAAATTAACTAACTTTTTCTAGCTTTACAGCTCAAATAATACACACGTTTTACAGAAGTAATGCAAGTAAAATTATAAGCTTCACATATCTGCTTTTAAATCCTCATATA